GGGACGGACGGACGGTGGGACGGACGGACGGTGGGACGGACGGACGGTGGGACGGACGGACGGTGGGAAGGACGGACGCTCTCAAAGATAGAGGCTTAAAAAATTACTCTGGGACTACCAGGTACTTCTTGTGAGATTGCAATGAGATATTGTGAGAAATAAAAAAGAATTTTCTATGTGACTATATTAAAAATGTATAAATCAAGTATTCTGTGTTATGGAAGAAAATATGGCAACTGAGGGTCATATTGTTCTCCCGTTCCGGGGGTTGGAAGTTTTCCTATGTTAATTTGCTGCATTAAAATAAGATCTGAGGAGACCCTGGTTCCTTGAACACGTTTCCCTACATTGTTGTAGAAATTTGCAGGTTTTTGTGCTCAAACGATACTCCAAGTTTTAATCGCCGTGTATACAAAACCGCATGTGTATACAAAACCGAAAACCCTATTCCAGACGCAAGAGATTACGAATCTAACTACTTCGACAAAGTCTGCGCTACACCGCAACACCACTGGTTTACAATGTTTTTTACAAACTCTTTGGTATAAAAGGACATTGTTTTGTATACACATGCAAGGACATTTTTCTTGTAGGTATTTCTAGTTGGGAAACAAGAGAATACGGTTCGCTAGATGATTTTTGGGCAGTGCTAGCTCTTTTGCACGCTGAGTTTGCTTTAATGTTCTGATAGTTTTACCGTGTGTCTAGATGCACCATGGAATATGTTGATGTTGTATTGTGTTAAATGTGGTGTTTTATTCTATTAATTCGATTCTTGGACTTTTTGGTTCTCGTTATTTTAATGTTCCTAAGGTAGATGTGAAATTAGTGAAAATTATGGCTGTGTTGTGACACAGAGATTTGTACAGAAACTTTCACAGGAAAACATTGAGAAGGAATGGAGTTTAAGTTATAAGGAGTTTCCGTCATATGAGAAGAGTTTAGTTAAGAGGCATTCCATACATTGATAAAGTGATATCTTCGTTTATTTCATTCAGAAATTTTCGCAAGGCAGAATTTCGTTGAAAATAATTTACATTGTATACTCACATCATTAATTAGCCGACCCCGTAAAATGCAGATTAGCATACTGACTTGCAGAAACAAAAGACTCTGAATACTGAGGATTTAATTTTCGTATCATCATTAATAAATCATGTAAATACATCTCAGTGGGAACGGAATAATCATGACCTCCCCAATATTATAAAGTAACAAATCCAATTAATAGATCCCATTGTTTCACAAAAGACACTTTCAGTAAAACGTATTATAATGAAGATATTTTCTCTTTACATTCAGTCTAAAATGATAGCATGGTATACACAGGACGTTTTACTCACTATGAATGGCAATTAAGTTGATAATTCTTGAGAAAGGAATATTTTAAAGGTGATCCTCAATTGGTAGAGAAAGCTCATTTCCTCTCTTTCTTGAAGAGAACGACTTCTGCTCTAAACACTGCCACCGCTGCTATCGTTCAACGGCTGCCAAATTGTCCTCAGTCAATGGCCAAAGGATATTCTATATTACTAATCTCCAATGCACGTAGAAATTTAAAGGCAACTTTGCAGCATCCGGTCATGTGAGAGTAATGTTGTTGTTTTTTTCATTAAATGCACAGGAACTCAGTGAAAATCCCTAAACATTTTCATTACATATTTCCAAAAGCAAATTTAAAGACAATTATGCAGCCATTAGCCATGTAAAAGGTATCTATAGTTTTCGTTAGATCCACTTAATTTCGGGCCTAAATATCTACATCACTAATTTCCAATGCGCTCATAAATTGAAAGGTAACTATTCAGCCTACTATCATGAGATTGGTAGCTATGGTATGGATGTGCCATCGATGCCAATGTTTTCGAAACATCCCTGTTTCTATAAATCGAAGAATTTAACATGGATGTTTAAAGCTGTTTTTTTAACGTCGATGTTTTGGGTTTGATGTTTTTACGTGTTTGATATTTTACTGTATTTTTGAGAAAAAAAAGTACCATAACAAAAAAAACTTGCAATAAGTTTGAGATATCCATCTATTTAGACTAAAGTGAGCAAAGGTAAAAAATAATTAAAATAGAGGTTTCGTCGATAAATGCAGTATATAAATGAATTATCGGACCAAATAACAAAACTTTTATTAATTGTTCTCTTCATTTATTAATTTTATTTTTTCAGATCGATCTCAATTAAAAATTACTAAACGCAACCAAGGTTTTAAAAACATCGATGTTTAAAAACATCGCATCCCTAGTCTATGGTACTAGTTTAAGCCACTAGAATTACTGAATCAATGAATTACTGAATTAATGAAACAGCTTCGGCATAAGATGTTTTTTATCTACCACGTTCACCTTGTTAACTTATGCAGATGAAATAAAATTGTCGTGGCTTAAACTAAAATTACGTAGAAGTACTACATTTTAGTCACTTTCTTTAGTCTCTCCTCCCCAATTTTGCCTGTCACAGGCACCCGTGTGGCCACGTCACTAGAACATGCCTGGAACTACTAACTGGAAATTGCCTGGTTAAAAAGACACTGTGTGTATATCGTCTAATCGTCGAATTACTGCGTTTGCTGGATACTTCCTTCAAGGGGGCATCCATTTTCTTTCTCACAGAAGTAAATTGGTTTCAGAGAGTGGCAATCAACAGCCGAGAGTCCTGCATCACCCAGAGAACGTCGGAAACATGACCCTGATTAACGTCAGCACCGCACACTCAAGGAGCGGGTAAGAATATCAACAAAAGAACGCTTTTCAAAAAATCTCATTTTTCGATTTAATTTTTAAATTTATTATCTCCTAAATCCAAGTTTCAATATGGTTATCGGAATAGAATTTAACGTTGCTTTAAGGTTGTTTTTTTTCACGATGCCAGCAGCTTCTTAAAGACCAGGTCAGATGGTTGTGAGTACGTTTACAATAGCTCGCACACAAATGGGCTTTTCCCATTTTTAATAATAATAATAATAATAATAATAATAATAATAATAATAATAATAATAATAATAATAATGATGATGATGATGATAATAATAAAAATAATCGATCAAAATGTATCTTGCCGTAGCGCGCTGATTTCGCAGTCAGAAGGTCAGGGTTCGATCGCCGGGTCGGCCATCTTGATATACAGGCGAATACTGGATGGTTCAAAGAGACCACGATCACTTCACATCATCATCATCATCATCATATCAGCTCAGAATTCATAATTCAAGACTTATGAACACGTCTTCGAGGTAGAATAAGAATGGGCCTCGAAAGAGAACATGTTTCGTAATTCGAAATGGCCGATACGCAAGTAATAATAATAATAGAGGCACTAGGGCCTCGTCAGACGTAGACCACCTTAACCGAACAGTCTAAGGCTAAGGAGTCCATGGTATGCAGGTCGCATCCCCTTACGATATCTACTTGGCATTCATTCCACTTTCATTGGATAATGTGCAGCCTATGATTCGGTTTCACATTACCAGCCATCTATTTGAATAGGGCTCTCATTGTGAAAAGCGACAATGTTAATTTCTGCCCAATCTGAGATTCGAACCCGGAGTCGGGGCAAGGAAAGATAGCTCGCTAACCACCGGGGGGGGGGATTAATCAATCTAATTTATTTGTTATTTTTTTGTTTACTTTTTGTATTTTATAATTTTAATATATTGTTTATTTATCTACTATGTATTTATTTTGTGTGACATGTGTGGGAAAAGTGCAATTTTTGCAAGTTTTCATACCATTAGATTCCTCACCCTGTAAGTAGATATCTTGTACTGAATTGAGATGAGTTATTAGTGTACGTAGCATTGAGAGCTATTGGAAGACTTTGATAACAAAAACTTAACAATAATCTATCAGTTGGTTTCAACTCTTTCGAAATGAATTTCATCCAATACCTCTTGCGCTTTCTAAAAAAAACTTTCAGACGATATAGCAAGTCCGAGGAAAAATTTCATTTTATGTAACAGAATGCATTTTTTCGGCGGTCTCATACTTTTCAAATCCTTTTACTATCAACGTTTGAACCCATGAGCGCTTACAGTTCCTTTCCAGTTTTAGTGATCGCTTGATAGAGAGCAAGCCTCATATAAAGGTCAGATTGAAACGAGTCAGAATAATACCACAGCCGGCTTAAGACACATTTAAAAGAAAGCAAAACTATGCATCGTCATGATGACAATTGATGTAATAGCTATTGGCGAAATCAAATTAATTCATCAAGTACTAAGAAAGATGCCATTCGTCGTTCGATGAAAATATAAAATGTTATTTAATTGAAGAGTGTAATTATAAAGATGGGATGGGATCCATCTGTTGAAACAAATGGAATATTTATTACTTTGAATTCAAAACTGAACTTCACGTAGATAATAGTAAACGCACAGATGACTATAAAAAATTGTGGATTTTATGTAATTAGTGTGAAGATATTTTTATCGTGGGATAATATCTTGGATTGTCGAATATCGGTTAAAAGAAAATTGAAATGGGATATAGTTTGTTAACAATGTGAATTGAACATAATTGTTTACTATAAATTATTAGGAGTTGTCCTTTATAGTAGGAAAGTTTTTCTCCACGTACTTTAATTCATAGTTGTCACTATTCTATGTCAATGTCTTTATTTTAGTAAATATTTGAAAAAAGATGTTTTATTCCAAGTAAAATGAAAATACCAAATACGAACTCTATTGACATTTTTCAAGAAATTATCGACTCTAGACAAGACGATCCTACAACATTTTACTATTATTTTTATTAATACAATTCCACAAAATAAAAACAATCAGTGATTATGAGTATCCAATATAATATAAGACAGTGAAATCTTTAGGACACTTAACAGTCAATATCTCACGTATTTAAAAGATAAATATTTTAATATATATTTATATGCATTTTTATTATAGTAAAATATTGGTTTTAAATAAATGAGAGTATTGATTGTAAATACTCTGGGAAAACCCATCTCCGACAAAATCTTATAAACTTAGTCTTTAAAAATAGGAAAGTAATGCAATATTTATTTTAATACCATCATCCTCAGAAGCGGAGTCACCGCGAACGAGGACCAGACAAAGAACCTTGAGGAACCCCCGTACTTAGAGTACAACCTGCGCCTCATCCATTTAATCGGAATATGGCGGGAGAAGGGGCCCTTCGGCCTGCCATTTCTGCGCCTCTCGCCCTACTGCATCTACATCTTCGGCATCTACTGCATCGTGCTCACGGGCAGCGTGCTTCAGCTGCTGCAGAGCTACGACAATCTTGAGGTAGATAAGCGTTTATTCACCATCTCCCTCCCGAGGATGCGCTCTTGAAATCAATTAGCTTTGAGCCAAAATACCAAGGTAAAATGACGGAAGCGCGTTACTTTGTATGCGGTTGTGAACTGATTATTATCATTGTGATCATCATCATTGTTTTATGAAAACTATAGACTTTTTAAACACAGTTTTAATATAATTATTTCATACACCTAGGTACATTTAAGCCACATGATTAATGAATGTTAATGACTTTTATTCAAAAGCAATTGGGGCAATACGTATGTATGTATTTCATATTTTAAAAAAAAAACATACATCATTAAACGCAATCGAGACTTCCGCGACCGCAGTCAGTAAATACTTGTCTGTCTGGGAGACGCCGCGTCCTAGGCGCGGATGACAACAATCAGCATAAACTAATTTCATGAAAACTACCTATTTCACCAAGACGCCCGGTCGCGTCAGGGCGCGGTCCTAGCTGCTCCATGACGTTCGACCCTGGCGCCTTCTCTTACCCTGACCGGGGGGCCGACCTAACTCTCCGCATTATCCGATCACTCGACCAACCGGATGACGGATCAAGGGGGCTAGCTAACTCGTGCGCAGTCCATCCCCTGGAATTTCGCCCTGAAAAAGGTCGCAGAATGCCGACCGAAACGCTCGATCCTATGCTTAGGATACGGCGGCTCCCAAACGGCCATGTATTTACTGACCCCGGCCGCGAAAGCCTACGTTCTCAATCTTTAATTTACTTTTCAGATCATCACGGAGACGCTGTGCGCGCTCTTCTCCTTCGCCGTCAACTGCCACAAGCTGCTCATCATGGTCGCGTACAAGCGCCGCTTCAAGCGCCTGCTCTACCTCATCAAGCACAACTTCGAGAGCCCGCGCCAGCGCGCCAACCCGCGCCACCACGCGCTGCTCGTGCAGCGGGACCGCGAGAACAAACTGCTCACCTACATATTCGGGGTGTTCGTCGTCACCACGGCCACCTTCATCAACGTCTTCCCCATGGCCGAGTGGTACTTCTACCAGGAGCCCTTCCCTGAGCTCGCCGCCAACGGCACCAGCTCGTA